AGGAGCCGGTGTCGAGGATGGTGTAGAAGCTTCTCACCAAATTTGCAGATGAGGTCGTGGTGATGGTCAGTGAGAGTCGAAAGGGTCATTGTGTTGAGCGCTTCTTGATATGTGGAGTAGGAAGGGGAGAGAATAATCTTTTGTGTGTTTTAAACGTTATTTGTATGCCAACTTTGAAGCTCTTAATTTAAACATGCTATATATGAAATAAAATTGACACACACACACACACACACACACACACACACACACACACACACACACAATCTTAACATTATGGCGTCCTAGCACCTGTGAGATCCTTTCTATGACATCATTGTTTTCGTAGGATATTGTGACGTATTGTTCAAGACCTGTGACGATGGGGTGGGTGTGTGGGCGGTGTTAAGTGGGCGTGTGGGAGGCGAGGGTGTTTAAATAATAATAATAATAATAATAAAACTACTACTACTCCTACTACGCCATTGAGGTCTTACGTGGCTGTGTTTGTGGTTTTGCAAGAATGTAGAGGTTATGTCTTCCCGCCGCCCTCCCTCCTCCCCACCTGTGTTGAGGGAGGGGGAAGGTGTGAGGTGCAGGTTATTCTATACATCTGACAACCTTCCTCCCGAGATGTATGTTTGAATTATCATTAATACAAAATATCCTATCCTTATTTCTGAACCACTTCTATAAAAAATTTAAATAAACATAAGGAAAAAATAATAATATAAGTTTGTTTGCGGTGAAAAAAAAATGGCGGGAGTGTAGTGGCTATTGTAGAAAACATCTTGCTTACGCCATTGTTGTTGTTGTATCCGCGGCTCGCCATTGGTTGTAAAAATAAACCTCAGCGACCAAATTCATCCAAACGTCTTAACAATGAAATACCTCGAGAGTTGAAGATTTACGAACACAATTAGAACTGGTTGACTTGAGTTGAAATACATCGTCGGCAGATTACGCCAACATAAAGCTCTTGGTATCTGCCTTGACTCGCTACCTTCACGACAACAGTACAAGGAATTAAATAGCTGCACTTTACCGAGTCTCTTAACGTGTTGAAATGGGATTGTCTCTTTTTTTTATTCTGAGGGAAAGCTTAGGGTCATTGTGGCGTTATTAATGGTGTGGGTCTGTAGTGGTGTTGAGGGGGTGGGAGGTGGGGTACTGTGGGAGGGGGGTGGGGGGCACTGTGGGAGGGGGGTGATAGGAGGGTGGGGCACTGTGAGGTAAAGAGAGTGGGGGGCATCAGGAGGTGTATAGAGGGTGGGGGTACCAGAGGTGTGGGTGGGGGTGATAGGAGGGTGGGGGGTACCGAGGGGGGTGGTATGGGGGATACTGTGGGAGGGGGGTGATAGAGGGTGGGGGTAATGGGAGGGGGGGGTGGGGATAGAGGGTGGGGGTACAGGGAGGGGTGGGGGTACTGTGGGGAGGGGGGTATGGGGGCACGGAGGGGGGGTGTAGTACGGAGGGGGGGTGGTGGGGGCACCGTGGAGGGGCTGGTAAGGGTCTGTACGATTTCCGTGGATTTGCCGGGCTTCCTGCAGGGTGAGGGTCGACTTACGCTTAGCCTGGACCTGAGATAACCCTGGCGACCATAAGGGTTATTTTCCTCACTTAACCCCTAGATCCCCCGCCTTAAACCTCCTAGCCCTGACTTAGGGGTCTCCTTTTGCCTGGAGAGTGAGTGTGGAGAAAGGGCCACATGAGTGTCACATCCGCCTCTCACCCTCCCCCCCACACCCCCCTCTCCTCTCCTTCCCCTCCATTGTCGTTCTTTCTCTTTCTTTTCCTTTATCGAAGGGTTTCTCTATTCACACAATTATTCACTTTTTGAGGGATTTGAAAAACAACCCCTATCCCTCCCCCTCCCCTTTCTCCCTCCCTGGCTGTCTAACCCTCCCCCCACCCTTCACCCCTGCATTGACCATTACCCCCTACTGTTCATCCTGCCCCCCCCCACCCCTTCCTCCCCCTCTCCCCCCTACCACCATACCTACCCATCCCAGCGCATTACTCATTATATTTTCTGCTACTCATTATACGCAATAGAATACGCGTATAACATCTGACCAGGGACATGAGTTTAGTAATCCGTATCGTGTTATGGTGTCTATATATTGTTAGTCTACGTAAATAAGTCTCTATGTTTTATCTAGTTTGCTCTCTGTATTTATCTATCTCTCTATTTCTTATCTGTTTACCTATTTTATCTATTCCATCTTCTAACATTTTCACATATACTCCCTTTTTCTTCTTCTCCCTTTCCTCCTCTTTTTCTCCCTTTCCTCCTCCCTTTCTCCCATCATCCCTCCTTCCCACCTTTCCCATGGACCACCGGAAGCTGCCTCAAAAGGGGATCTGTTTATACTAATTTCCTTCTATAATCTGTACGTCACTTCCTGTTCATGGTAGTCATGGTACCATTGCTAAGTCATGGTAGCAGCATCATGGTAAGCACGGGTATCTACCATTATGGTGTAATATTGTTATACTTTTGATCATGGTACCATTTTTTTGTCATAATTGCTATATAACAGAATACATCTCTTATAACGAATATTGTGTGATATATAACAAATATTTCTCGCCACCTCGAAATATTCTGCTCCTGTGCTAAATAATTTGTTTCAATATCAATTGGAAGGAAGGAGAAGACTCAAACTCTTTCAAGCTCTATCAAACTCTTTCAAAATGTTTCAAATTCTTTCAAGCTCTTTCAAACTCTTTCAAAGTGTTTCAAACTCTCTCAAAGTGTTTCAAACTCTTTCAAAGTGTTTCAAACTCTCTCAAAGTGTTTCAAACTCTTTCAAATTCTTTCAAACTCTTTCAAAGTCAAGCAATCGCCTGTTAACTCTCATGTTGTCTTCATTAATACCAAACTGTTTTTATTACCGGGTGTTGTGAGTCAGCATGTGTTAGTCAGTAAGATATAGGTTAGGTTGCTACAGATGTTAACACGGGTGCTACAGATGTTAACACGGGTGCTACAGATGTTAACACGGATGCTACAGATGTTAACACGGGTGCTACAGATGTTAACACGGGTGCTACAGATGTTAACACGGGTGCTACAGATGTTAACACGGTGCTACAGATGTTAACACGGGTGCTACAGATGTTAACACGGGTGCTACAGATGTTAACACGGGTGCTACAGATGTTAACACGGGTGCTACAGATGTTAACACGGGTGCTACAGATGTTAACACGGGTGCTACATACCCCTAACAAAACAAGGTTATTCTAGTACCTCTCCTAGTATCTACCTACTCCTGACATAAACAAGCCCTAGTTCTTATCACTAACACAATCAGAGTAGCTAGAGCACAGCCAGATTATAGGGCCCAAGTGAGTCTGGTGGGGGCCTGGTGAGTCTGGTGGGGGAGCCCTGGTGGAGTCTGGTGGGGGGGCCCTGGTGAGTCTGGTGGGGGCCCTGGTGGAGTCTGGTGGGGGGCCCTGGTGGAGGTCTGGTGGGGGGCCCTATGGTGGGGTGGGTCTGAGTGGGGTCTGGTGGGGGGCCCTGGTGAGTCTGGGTGGGGGCCCCCTAAATCTGGTGGGGCCCCAGTGGTCTGGTGGGGGCACAGGCAGATCTGGTGGGGGACCCTGGTGAGGTCTGGGTGGGGGGCCTAGTGAGTCTGGTGGGGGCCGTTGGTGTGGGGGCCCTGGTGAGTCTGGTGGACCCTGGTGAGGTCTGGTGGGGGGTGAGTCCCCTAGGGAGTCCCCTAGTGGGTCTGGTGGGGGGCCCCTAGTGAGAACCTGGTGGGGGCCCCTATAGTGGGTCTGGTGGGGGCCCTCGTGAGTCATTCATCTAAATATGACTAGTAACCGTCAGCTAAACGTTCTCCCCCTTCCCCCCTCCCTTCTCCCTCTCCCTTCCCCTCTCCTTCTCCCTTCCCCCTCCTCCCCCCCCCCCCTCTCCCCCCTCTCCCCTTCCCCCCTCTCCCTTCTCCTTCCCCTCCCCTTCCTTCCCTCTCCCTCACCCCTCTCCCCTCTTCCCCCTCCCCTCTCCTTCCCCCTCCCCCCCCTCCCCCTCCCCCTCCCCCTCCCCTTCCCCCTCCCCCTCCCCCTTCCCCCCCTCCCCCTTCCCCCCCTCTCCCTTCCCCCTCCCTCCCTTCCCCCCTCTCCCTTCTCCCCTCCCCCTCCCCTCCCCTCCCCCCTCCCCCCTCCCCCCCCCCTTCCTCCCTCTCCCCTTACCCTCACCCCCTCTCCCTTCCCCTCCCCCCTCTCCCTTCCCCCTGCTTCCCCTCTCCTTCCCCCCCCCCCTCTCCCCCCTCCCCCCCCACCCCTTGTCCCCTCCCCTTCCCCCCCTCCCCCCCCCTCTCTCCCTCTCTCTCTCCCCCCTCTCTCCTCCCCCTCTCTCCTCTCCCCTCCCTCCTCCCCCTCCCTCCTCCCCCTCCCCCCCTACCCCTAAGATGGACGGGTTAGGTTAGGCCTGTGTATACTCTGTTATGTCTTGCTAACTGTTATCGTGTCTCCGTTATCGAGTCCGTTATCAAGTCCATCGTCCCGTTATCGTGTCTCCGTTATCGAGTCCACGTTATCAAGTCCGTTATCAGAGTCCCCGTTATCGTGTCTCCGTTATCGAGTCCCCGTTATCGAGTCCCCGTTATCGTGTCTCCGTTATCGAGTCCCGTTATCGAGTCCCGTTATCAGGTCCCCCGTTATCGTGTCTCGTTATCGAGTCCCCGTTATAAAAGTTTCGACTTGACAGTAACCCGGTGAATGGCGGCCATTGTGAAATAATTTATTATTGTTGGTGTGCTGGCGGCCATTTTGAAACGGCAGCCTGTCTGTGTGTGTGTGTGTGTGTGTGTGCGTGCGTGCGTGCGTGCGTGCGTGCGTGCGTGCGTGCTTGCTACAGTAATTATATACTTTTAACATTTTGATTTGGCGGAAAATCATTTTGATTTTAATGTTTGTGTTAAATATCATCAATAGGTCATCTGGAGTGTTATTGCTGATGTTACTGTACATGTCGGGTTGTGTTGCTGACCTTGTGTTGTCTTGTGTTTCAGAGTGTTGTGGAGCGGCGGCTGAGGACAGGATGGCAGCCGCGTGTGCCCGGTGATGTCGCAGGATGGCCGCAGCCAAGGCGGGGGCGGCGCGGGCGGCTGTGGGGGGTCGGGCGCCGCCAGCAGCCCCCAGGGAAGTCCCATCACCCTGTCCGTGCCCCGCCCAGACCACCAGCGCACCACCAACCTCTACGTGGACACTCCCTTCAAGCACCGCGTGGCACCCCGGACTCGCCCAGCTCATCACCACGCCTCCACCACCTCCCGCACCCACGCGGACCTCGCCCTCGTGCACGGCGCCCCTGCCCGCACCAGCGGTAAGAGGTCCGCCAAGCTCACGTCCGCACACTCTAGCGTGACCGCGGCGCCCGTCAAGGGCAGCACTAGCAGCAGCACCTCGCTGCAGCATCAGCAGGCCGGCAGCCGCACCCCAGTCATCAGTAAACAGCCGGCCGCCATCACCTTCACTAAGGGCGGACGGGAGGAGGGTGACGGGGAGTCTATCATCTGCTCGTGGTGTGGGCGGTGCCGCTGTGAAGCGTGCACCAAGCCACGCCCGCCGCCCGCAGCCTGGCTCTGCCGCAACAAGTGCCTCTGCTCTCCCGCAGCCGCCGTCGACTACGCGTCGTGCTTGTGCTGCGTCAAGGGTGTCCTGTACCACTGCGGCAAAGATGGCGAGGCCGGCCTTGCCGCAGCCGCAGACCATCCCTGCTCGTGCAGGGGACCGCATGCGGTGCTGGGGTGGACGTGCCTGGCCCTGGCGTCCATCCCGCTGCCGTGTCTGCTCTGTTACTGGCCACTGACGGGGGCGCGGCGCCTGCTGGAGATGACCTACCAGCGGTGCACCAGTCACGGGTGTCGCTGCCCCCAGGGGCGCGGCTCCCGCCTCCAGCCGCCGCCACCACCGCCTCCTCCGGAGAAGCGGCCGCTGCACGACTGTGCGTGAGACGTCGAGTGCCGCAGGGCCGCCCACCACCCAGGACAGGCGGCCCAGGTCACCCTCTCAAGCTTTAATACCCCGGGCCAGGTGGCCGGCCGGCCCGCGCCGCCCCCATGCCCGCTACAAGAAGAGCGGCCTCGGGGGCGCGTCGCAGGTGCTGGTAGCGTGGGCGTGCGTTCCCCCCCTAGTCACGGGCGCGCCCGCGGCTCACCAGCAGGCGGCGGCGGGCACATTCAGGGATCAAGGCCGCGCCCACCGGCCAGCGGGCGGCAGGCGCGGGGGGCGCCACCACCACACATCATTATTAATTTATTCAACAGTTTATCATGGTGTTACCCGTGGGTGGACGTGCGTGGGCGCGCGCGGCGGCAGACAGCCAGGGGCCATAAGTTCAAAGATTCGTGCGTTAAGGTTCCTGCAGGAACTGACGGTGTTGTCGAGTACTTGTAGTCAGTGAAGCTTGAGTACAACGCCGCCATGTTGTGCTGGAGTGAGTCAGGGGAAGACTTTAACTCAGGAACCTTTGAGACTTGTGGTCCCGGGCCGGTGAGGGCGCCGTGCAGTACTTCCTGCGTGCTGTACTACTGCGTCTCTCCTGTTCTCCCGCTGCTGCGCCTACTGCTGCTGTTTTTGTCGGTGTGGGTGCTCCCCCCCCACCCCCCGGCCAGACCCCCGTGGGCCGCCCCCTCCCCCGGGCGGCACCACCAGGATGACTGCCAGTGGGCCCCCCCCAGTACCTTCTAGTCGATGAATTAATGTTGTTGCGAGGATGTTATTGTGGCGAAAAGATGGCCCGAGCTGGCCTCCTCCTCTCTCCCTCCCTCCCCTCCATCCTTCCCTCACCCCCCCCTTCCCTCAGTGACTCTTGACAGTAAAGTGAGACACGAACCTGGGGGAACACACCTAAACATATAAAAGAAGCTATATTTTCTGCCCAGTTATTTACTATGTAATTACTGTATGTGATTTTGAGTGACCTCATTCTGGCTTCCATTGAAAAAAACAAACAAAAACAAACAAAGATTTCCATACAATGTGTTTGTTGTTGGTGTGACGTCATCGACACGTCACTGAAGAGGAAAGGTTTATCACGAGAAAGAAAGAAAAAACTATGGAAAACTGTTATTAATCAGCTGAAGGGTAAATGCCTCGACTTAGTTCATCGCTTATTCCACAAAGTTGTTTTTGGTTCCTCAGCTGAGACTCAAAAAGGGGAAAAGAAATGAGAGTGTATTATGACTCTTACGCTACAGGAACTAAGGAGAGATAGTAGTTGTTGTTGCTGCTTGACCACATACGGTACAAGCAGGAGAGAGATGGTTGGTTCTGTGTGGTTTGATTCAAGATGGCGTTCGTATGTTTTGATTCCCTAATAGACGCCAGAAAAATGTAAGATCCCATATACATATATTTATTTATCTCAAAAAACAGGAAAATATTTGATTGTTTTTTTTTTTTTCTGGGTGTAAATTGTCTTACACCATTGAGGAGAAATGTTTTGTCATGGTTGATATGTGATGATTTGAAAGGTAAATTATGTACTGTATAGTTCATGCGATTCGTAGCTTCTTGAACGTGAAATATAGTTGAATATATTTCCATTGATTGAGATAAAGATTATGTATATATCAAGAAAAATATGATTTTCTTTAACGATACGAAATATATATATATGTATGTATGTATGTATGTATATGTATATGTTAAAGAGAAATAAAAGAACAGTTTATTTTATATGAATGTTATGTTTATGTATGACGGGGAAACATATTTTTGGATACATTGGTATAAGAGAGAGAGAGAGAGAGAGAGAGAGAGAGAGGTATCACTAATAATTATGATGACATGTTAAGTAGATATTTTTCATAAATATATATTATGTTTGTCAGAGGAAAGAATATTTTTTTTCATCAATCATCCATAGTAGAGAAATATATCTTGGCAGTGATTCATTATTTTTACACGAAATGAAAAATACCAAAACAAAGAGAGAGAGAGAGAGAGAGAGAGATTTGACGAGTTGAGAGATAGAGATAGAGCGATAGAGCTGGGGGTTGAGAATATGTGATAAGGGGTAATGGGAGGACCAATCTTCCACCTCCCTGTATGAGATAAAAGAACTCAGTCGTAAAAGTAATGTAAAGACAAAATGAAGGAGGTAGGGAAGTGGTGGGCGAATTATCCATATCAATACAGTACCTAACTAACACTTCTGCTCCCTCTATTAAACGAAATATTAAACAAAACAAAAAAAAAAGATCTCACGGTATAAAAGAAAATCTCTCTCACTGAGGCTTTTTGCATTAGAAATTGTGTGAGGTCGTATGGAGGGAGAGACACGAGGCTGGAGGATTTCTTATGCATTCTGGCTGTACTGACTTGAAGGTTTGGTGGCCTCTATGTGAGGTCGTCCTTCACTCGTGTCTCCTACTCCAACGGGTGATATTTTTCTTACGTGAGATTTTTTTTTTTTTTTAGTATTTGTTTTATGTCACAAAAACTTTATCTTTTTGTTTTGTAAGTGTTTGTTATACGTGTGTGTGTGTGTCATTATAGTATATATGTGTGTTTGGATACGTACATATATCGATACATATATACATACATACATACATACATACATACATACATATGGGAGAGGTTGAGGATGGGGTAGTAGGGGACAAGAAAAGGAGTAGAAATACCTATTTTTCTCTCTCCCTCTACACACACTCACACACACACACCAGAGTCAGTCAAGTCAGTCAGTCGCTCACCACCTCCCACTCGGTATTTTTCTAATAAGTAGAGAAATTTTTTTTTATCATATGAATAATAAACACGAAAAATTATTATTATTTTCTAGGCCAACATGGAGATACAATAACCCCCCTCCCTCTCCCCTCCCCCAATATATATACACACACTATATATATATATATATTAAAGAGGCTAATACACCCCCTTATATATATGGGCTGGGTCCCCCCTTTCCCCCCCCAATAGCCCAGGTTTAACAGGGGTCCGAAGCAACTTTTCGCCTGTACTGCTTGTTAATACAGATTTATTGGTCAGACAGAACCTGTTTATCTTCTTGTATAGTAAACTGTACAGAATTTTGTCTATGGAGAGAGGATTACTGTGGGTGTATAATTCTTCCCGATCATAACTGCTTTGTATGTTTCAAGTACTATATTGGCAGTTACTGTATGTATGTACATAAGGAAAACTGAAATAATAACGAAATATGAAAAAATAATTGTGGTTTGATTCTTTTTTTTTTTTTAATATCCTTGTGTGTAATGGATGTATAATGAGGAAATGTTGGATTATACCTAACCATGGCAATGTTGGGTGATAGATGTTGGTATAATGAAAAAAAATAATACCTAACCTAACCATATAATTCACTACTGAATGGCAAAGATCGTACACTAGAAAAGGTAAAATATTGGATTTATACCAAAAACAAGAAAAAACTGAATCATTTAGTGGATGATCTACCTTACAAAGCCTGAGTTGGATTCTTACAGGTGTGCCTTAGATATGGTCTACAGGTGTGCCTTACAGGAGTGCTCTACAGGTGTGCCTTACAAGTGTGGTCTACAGGTGAGCCCTACAGGTGTGCCCTACAGGTGTGCCTTACAAGTGTGGTCTACAGGTATGCCCTACAGGTGAGCCCTACAGGTGTGGTCTACAAGTTGCAATATTTACACACTGACTCTTGAATTATATCCCTCCAAAATAGACATATATATATAATCTGGTGTAATAATCACCTCTAGTGTTACGATTAGCACATCCTCCAGCTTATTTAACCTTGAGATTAATCCCCATAATATTAACCTAACCTCACCCAACCCAACCTGACCCGACCTGACCTGACCTAAGTGCTAATTCTTCCTTTATCATTCACCTCAAAGAAATTTGGACAGGTGGGTCATGGTCGCCAACCCTCAGACACCAACATGGCATTTATGCATTGTATCTATCTATCTATCTACCAATCAAAACATTAGATAACGGAAGATTAGCTAAGCACCAATTATTATCACCATAAGTAAGATTAAATACCGGATTAACACCATCAGGGATTAGAGCCAACAGATTAAGGTAAGTAAATGATTAACACGGATTAGAATAACGATAACTGATGCTTTGTTCTGATTGGATGATTCACACGGATTGACATGGATAGGTGATTGGAAGATTGGATAATGGTAACTAACAGTGAAAGATTAATAACAAGTGGATTAGTGAAGATTAGACGTGATTTGCAACAGATTGGAAGATTATTGACAACATGGAATATTTTTTTTAAGGATTGGGAGATTAATAATGTGATTAGGATGATTGGAAGATGACTAATTAGTGAGTTGGGAAGAGTAATTAACACCTAGAGGAAGGCAGGTTGGCCAAACGTAAAGGAAAATACAAAAAAAAAAAAACAGAGAGAGAGAGAACGCGAGAACATTATTCCACGAGACGACTGAAAAAACACGCAGCAAACGACACCCCATATTCCAATCTTCCCAACGAGTGTCGAGTTAATGATGATGTTTGGTAACTTGTTCCACTCATCCACTACTCTATTTCTCAATCAATATTTCTCTAATTCCTAGTCAATATCGCCTCTCACTCCACGTCTCACCTGAATTCTTCGTATTTTATACTTAAAACTCTATGAATATTATAAAATACAATGAAAGAAAATGAAAAACATGCTCATGAACTCACTAACTACTGAATTACCCCAAACTACCAATTTAAACTCGTGTCCCGAGGTGTGCTAGGTGACGAACCATCATCACCAAGGCAGGTACTGTGTCAGCCAGTTAGTCGGTCGATGGCCAGAGTGGAATAAGGTTGAGGTGTACCCTACCATGGACAATAGTGTACCCTACCATGGACAATAGTGTACCCTACCATGGACCATGAGTGTACCCAACCATGGACAATAGTGTACCCTACCATGGACAATAGTGTACCCTACCATGGACAATAGTGTACCCTACCATGGACAATAGTGTACCCTACCATGGACCATGAGTGTACCCAACCATGGACAATAGTGTACCCTACCATGGACATGTAATTCTACCATGGACTACATGTGTATTCAATATGACAATAGTGTACTTACCATGGGATAATAGTACCCTTAACATGGACACAATGTAATCTCACCATGGACAATAGTGTACCTCACTATGGGATAATAGTGTATCTTACCATGACAATAGTGTACTTACCATGGATAACAAGTGTAATTACTATGGACAACAAGTGTACCCTACTACAGACCATACGTGTAATTCTACCATGGACAATAAGGTACCCTTTACCATGGGACAATAGTGTACCCTTACTATATTAATAGTACCTTACCATGGACAATAGTAAAATTCTACCATGGACAACAAATGTACTTACCATGGACAACAATGTAATTTACTATGGATATTAGTGTACCCTACCATGGACAATAGTAAAATCTACCATGGACACAGTGTACCCTACCATGGACCATACGTGTAATTCCCACCATGGACAACAAATGTATCTCTACTATGGACAATAGTGTACCCTACCATGGACCATACGTGTACCCTACCATGGACAATAGTGTACCCTACCATGGACCATACGTGTACCCTACCATGGACAATAGTGTACCCTACCATGGACAATAGTGTACCCTACCATGGACAATAGTGTACCCTACCATGGACAATAGTGTACCCTACCATGGACAATAGTGTACCCTACCATGGACCATGAGTGTACCCAACCATGGACAATAGTGTACCCTACCATGGACGATAAGTGTACCCAACCATGGACAATAAATGTACCCTACCCTGAACAACTTGGTACAAGAGCAAACATTACAAATGCCAGGTAAGTGAAAGCGACAGCAGTTTTGTAGAAGGATCGTCATTATATCTCACTATTAATAATGATGATGACGACGCGATGGTGAACTTAAAAGTATGTGACATAGCGTTGGTGAGATGGTAACCTGGTCACTAATTAGCCTCCAGGTAAGATGATGATTATGATTCAGGTGTGTGTGTGTATAATCAGGTTCCACATTGAGGTATGTGTGTGTAATCAGGTTCCAATGCACAGGATGTAAGGGGGTGCCCAATAAACTAGCCCCCTCGGAGGTAATCTAAATTTAAATCTACATAGGAAGAGCGAGTGTTGAGAGGCAGGATTCACTGTACAGGTTTATGGCCTAGTGTGACGGGTCGCTAATAGTGCCACTAGACTGTGACTAGGAGGGGGGATATTTGGTCTGGGAGGGACGAAGGTGGTGATGACTCCTGAGGGGGTACCTGTAGGAGAGTTCTGGGACATGTAGTGAGGAAGGGCAGGGAGGGCGAGAGAGTTTGGTGCCAACGATGTTTAGCTGTAACCAAGGCGCTGTCTCGTGTATACGCTATCTGTTGAGGCCAGGTCAGGGGTTGATGGAATGGGTTGAAGGAAGGGATAGAGAGGGCAGAAGGTAGGTAGGGAGGCGAGAGGGAGGTGGGAGGCAGTGAGGGCCGGAGGGAGGAGGGAGGAGGGAGGGCAGGAGGGAGGGCAGGAGGTGCGTGGCGCCAAACACAAGCGACGTGGATCTGACCGGCCAATGTATTCATTTCGCCGCCAACACTCACCACCCCCCGAGGCGCGCCACCAAACACCTCCTTATAACACCTCCACCTGTGGCCTTCAGTCCCTCCCCGACCACCACCACCTCCCTTCGCCCCTCCTCCACCTACTCCACCTGCGGGCTGTCCTGCGGGAGTGAACATTACGATAAAATCAGACCCTGGGGGTGAGTTTGACGATGGTGTTTAGCAGGAGTGGAGGTTAGTCATTGTATACAGCCATAGGTCCTTAAGCCATCTTGGGCTGACAGTGCACCTCGGCCGGGCCAAGGGGGTGAAGTGGCCTGGCACGGGGGGGATTTCTTTATCAAAATGGGTAATATTTAGATGATATAAATAAGACGGTATTAACGATGGCCCCTAACTCATACTTATCGTCGTCACCTACACTACCACCACAACCACCACCACTACTACTACAACAACAACCACCACAACCACCACCACTACTACAACAACAACCACCACCACCACCAACCACACCACCACTACTACAACAACAACCACCACCACCACAACCACCACCACTACTACAACAACAACCACCGCCACCACCACTACTACCACCACCACTACCGCCACCCACTACTACCACCACCTACCGCCACCACTACCACCACCACTACCGCCACCACTACTACCACTAACACTACCACCACCACCCTACTACCACCACTAACACCACCACTACTAACACCACAACCACCCACTACTAACATCACCAACCACCACCACTACTGCAACAACAACCACCACTACCACCACACCACCACCACCACCACCACCACCACCACCACCACCACCACCACCACCACTACCACCACCACCACCACCACTACTACCACCACCACCCACTACTACCACCACCACCACTACTACCACCACCTACCGCCACCACTACCACCACTAACACCACCACTACCGCCACCCACTGCTACCACCACTAACACCACCACTACCACCACCACCACCACTACTACCACTACCACCTACTACCACCACTAACACCACCTACTAACTACAACCACCACTACTACTAACATCACCAACCACCACCAATACTACCCATCACCTTACTACCACCACTAACACCACCACCACTACCCACCACCACCACTACTAACACCATTCAAACAACCACCTCCTACCACTACTCCACTAACACCACCACTACTAACACCACAACCACCGCACTATTGCCACCACTACTACCACCACTACTACCACCACCACTACTACCACCTACTACACCACCACTACTACCACCACTACTACCACCACTAACACCACCACTACTACCATCACAACCACCACCACCACTACTACCACTAACACCACTACTACTATCACCTTTAACACCACTACTACCACCACTACTAACACTACCACTAACACCACCACTACCACCACCACCACCCCACTAACACCACCACTAACACACCACTACTTACCACCCCCACCACTACCAGCACCACTACTGCCACCACCACCACCACTACCACCACCACCACTACCACCACCACCACCAGCCACCAACCACCAACCACCAACCACCACCACCACCACCACCACTACCACCAACCACCACTACCACCAATGC